TCCACGACTTTTTTTGCGAATATACGCAAAAACTGGTCAACAACACTGAAAACTTCTGCATACCCGCAATTATTAAATCTTATAATTTCGTGAAACCCGTAATTTTTTATGACAATAACTGATCACACGGCAGAAATTAATATTCTTATCGGTCACGTTCCACAAACTTGGTATCAATACGTCACAACTAAATCAGGTGTGGGGTCCCGTACAAACTATTTGTTTACTAGGGCCCCCGACCCCCTTTTTATCCAGTTCTATTTTGTCCAAGTATTTTCTCGTCGACAAGTGTAGATTAAGATATATCAGGCGCTTGCTATTAACGCCTGCGAAACTTTCTCCAAGTGTTGTTCTACGTACGATCTTCAACTGAACTAATTAGTTAACGAAAAGTGGTAAGTTTGCAAGTCAGTAAGTTGCAAAAATCTGAGCTGTGAGGGGACGCGTTTTTGGTTTTCTAACGAGAATGCTACTTGCTTTTTGTCATCTACGCTTACTTATTTCTAATCTGACATAGAGCCAAGATGAGTACAAGCTTATTCCTTGAAACACTTCGAAGGAACGATCTTGAAATGTATTATGGAAGGTACGTCTTATATTCACTATATTTACATTCTTTTAACTCAAAAGAGTTTTTTAATGCTAATCTTCGCATCGCGTTTATTTACTACTCGGATAATCCGATCGCTAACAGTTTATCAGCAGCAGGAATTCACGATTTACAGAGCCTAGCACGAGTACGTGAGGGAACATGGTTGCTCGTTACCATTTCACAACGTTCATGCTTACCCATATTTCATCCACACAGCTTCCGCTAACAGATTATACACTTGTTGGCGTCAACGCAGTAGATGACCGGAAGCGTCTATTCAATCTTGCCCAACAAATAAAAGCTGAATTACTCAGTGAACCACCTGCAAATTCATACAACAATAATTCTTCTAATGCCATGCGACAAGACTTTCAATTTCCCACACGAAATTATACGTCGGCTCCGACGTCTGTGGAGCAACCATCTCAAGACAGCTCTAACAGTGGCTCTGTTCCTGGTCGGCGCTTCTCACCATCATCTATTGGTCGGGGTCGTTCGACCACGCTCGCTGCTCGCACACGAATACCATCACCATTCGTAAATGCTAGCCGATCACAGCAATTATCGCAGCATCAACAATTGTTAGAAGCTCAGTTGGCGGCCGAAGAAGATGAGGATGAGTCGGTACAGATAAAGGCCGGGCAGGCATCCCGGTTGAACGCTTATGGTGTGCCAAGTAGGCATCCATCGAGGAGTAACTCGTACTCTGTTCCGAAATATGCTAACGCACCTAGTAATTTGAATGACAAAATAAGAGTCTGCGTCCGAAAAAGGCCTTTAAATAAAAAGGAAATAGCCAGAAATGAAAAGGATATAGCGATTATATCGGGTAGTAGAACTCTCCACGTTCATGAACCAAAGTTCGTAGGTTTCCGATTATGTGCTTGATTCTAATTTACTCGGTTCACTAAGACGCTGTATTGTTTACCGATTATGCTTGCAACGTCTACTTTGCATACATCCCCGAAATTTCGTAATTCTATTCACTTATTTCACTTTTGATCCTATAGAACGAAGGTCGACTTGACTAAATACGTCGAGCAGCACACGTTCGTGTTCGACGATGTGTTCGAAGTAGATGCTGATAACGAAGAAGTACGCTCATGGATTTATATAGTATTCTGTCACTTACGGTGAATCCTCAGAACAACTCATAGCTCGCTCAACTTATGGTACTGCGGCTAAACATCTAGGTGTATAAGCGAACGGCATTACCATTAGTGGAATATATCTTCAAGGGAGGAAAAGCGACGTGCTTTGCATAGTATGTGTCTATTACAATCATGAATATAGTTAATTGTTTGGTTCAATGTTATAGCCTAGAATAAGCTAAATGCATCTTTTTTCATGCTTGTTTATTTATTGGTAAACAAGTGGCCAAACAGGTTATGTAGACGTTCGAGTTTTTTTTTTGTTTCGTTGAAAGAATTCTAAAGAGGCTAGCAACAAGGAATTGATGTTCGACTTTTCGCCCTACGCCTATATAGGAAGTGGCAAGACTTATACTATGCTTGACGAGAAGAAAGGTATGAACATATGAAAATACAGCTATCTATTCAAAGAGTTGTTGATGATGGTTTTCAATGGATCACTATTTTTCCCGCCCGACAAGGACTATATGTGCTGGCTGCCCAAGATATATTCCGTTACCTTCAGAGGTCAGAATATAATCATTTGGTTGCATGGATAGGCTTTTATGAAATATACCAAGGACATCTGTATGATCTCTTGAACAAGAGAAAAAAGCTTTATGCTCGTGAAGATGGAAAGAAGAATGTAGTGATAGTCGGACTACAAGAGTATCCTATTGACACTGTCGAGAATCTTATGGCAGTCTTCGATTATGGAAATACTGTTCGTAGTACTGGTACGTCACAGGCTAATCATGGGATATAGCTGTCTTATTATATATAATGTGAACTAATGGCTTCCCATTGTTAACAGGAAGTACGGGTGCCAATGAGGATTCGTCGCGTTCTCACGCTATCTTGCAAATAGTATTGAAACATAGGAAGAATAGAAAGAAGTTTCATGGTATGAGAAAGTTTTTCGACTTATACTATTTGGTCTTTCTGGAAGTGCATTATTTAATGAAAATGTACTCTGTGATTGCAGGTAAACTTAGTTTTATAGATTTGGCTGGTAGTGAACGTGGTGCGGACAGAGGTGAAGCTGATCAAAAAACGAGGTGCGTATGTGTTATCCTATGCCGATACGGTACTCAATCATCTGACAATTACCATTCAACAGAATGGAGGGAGCCGAAATCAATAAGAGTTTATTGGCACTGAAAGAGTGCATTCGAGCATTAGATCAAGACAAGAGACACACTCCTTTCCGTCAGAGCAAACTCACCCAGGTACAAACTGAACTAGTAGAAATATTATATTGGATGATTTTATCATTAGTACGACACAGTTTTAGATATCGGGAAAATTTTGAATTTTGTTAACCATCTATTATTAGGTTCTTAAAGACTCATTTGTTGGCAATTCACGGACATGCATGATTGCAACAGTATCTCCGAACATTTCAAACAGCGAGCATACTCTTAATACTCTGAGATATGCAGACAGGTAAAAGATAAAATTTTACAAGCCAGCTTGACAGAAGAATACGTGCAATGCTGCACTTTTTCATATTGAAAACATATATACGTGATTTGGGTATCATCCCGTATTTGCACGTCTCCAACAGTTTATTGTAATGTATAAAGGCTAACAGCACTATGGCTTATATTTTTCACCAACCAAATCAAACATCTAAAGAGTGAAAGAGCTCAAATCTGAGAGAGATCGTGCGGAACGTGCTGCCGCCGGACTCGATGAATTCGCAAACGATTCCTATCCCGAAGGTTATTTGATAAATGAAGAAAGTCGTCCTGAAGATAGCAGCGAAGAGCAGTTGGCAGAAAGTAGTTATGAAGGCTACGGTGAAGAAGATGATGATGAAGAAGATTATGCTAATTTTGATGAAGAAGACTCTGATACGTTTGAAGAAGGCTTTGGGAGTGATGATGACGATGATCTTCTCGGACAGGAGATGCCGGGTGGGCTTGTGGATGAAGACTTTCCTCAATACGTCCGTAATCTGGAAATGGATCCATTTGAACATGAACCAGAGTCGCTGGAGAAGATGATGCCGGGACTTTCTCTAAACGAAGGGTCTCAATATTCCAGAAATAGCATTCATGCTTCACATGGCAGATCATTGTCAATGTATTCAAACTCCCCAGAAATTCGACAGTCAGAGGTATACTCAGCATATTCAAATAACAACCATCATTCATCATCATCAATAGGAACCTACAGCTCGACGGAAATCGATGACTTTGTCAAACGTCATAGACATCAATTACGAGAGATCAGTGAATATAGCCGCAAAGAAACTCAACTTTTAGCTGACTTTACCCTAAGTTTCAATGCCAATAAGGACATGGGAGCATCAGCTGCTGAATCAGTTAAACCCTTTGAAGACTATATGGAGAAATTAGATAGTTATCTTGAAAATAAGGTTGAAATTATTCAGGAGCTCAGACGATCAATCAATCAGTTGCTGAGCCAACATTAATCCTGAATTATTATTATTTATTAATGACTGATCACGATCAAAGCTACACCAGTCGTATTAGTATTATTACATAGGAAACATTTAAAATCTTGGGTCAATTTATCTGTTGTAAAATAAGGTAAGCATTATTAATAACTGTGTAGAGATTACAATTATGTAAATGTAATCGAATTGTGCAGACGTACTAATATACTTAGTTGTATAAACAAGTTTGTTTTGGCTGATTCGTCAATAGCAAAAGTTTCCCACCATGAGCTTTCTTTTAAATCGTGATTTTTATTAATTTGTAGAGGCAAGTGAAAGAACATAATAATATTAATCCTAAAATTCTATTTATTCACTTTGTCCCATTTACGATACGTGTAACCCGACCGCATCAACCACGACTTGTTCAAAAGACAATTTATCAGGTAATAAAGTATCCAGGCGGAAGTCCAAATTGTTGTAGAGGGCATCTCAACAGCGTTAATCCAATAGATATAGGACGTCCCTAATCAGGGAGATAAGACCAACCGTTTGTTTTACTCAAGCTGACTATTTTCTAAAAAAGTCCAAAAGACACAAATTATAATGTAACAACTCTTCATTCGATGCCATTCGTTCTTATGTTCCGTTAAAATAACCCGTATTGGATCTCTCAATACGCTAAAGTTGGCAATAACAACATGGTCATGCATCTTCAGTTTTTCAAGTACGATTGTACCAATTCGAATCTTTTTGGTTTTTAAACGCGATTGTATTGCGTCCAAGAACATGTAAAGTCATCTTCCATTGACCAAATGGGTCCACCATACACATCTGATTATTGTTATCGACATCCGGAAGTTCCAACGGGACGTATTTCCCCGTCCGACGCGATGCTGGCAAACTGTGTACGACTCCCCTATTAAAACGTTGGAATAGACTGTTCGATAGAATATGCGTATTGTTCGTACCATAAAATCTCCAGTCGGGGAAAAAGTTGCCACCCTCCCATATAACATCCGAAACTCTATCGTGGTGTTGATAATGGCACGCTCAACAGGGTCAATACCCACCCGGTATTAACGCGTTAAGGTTTATGTAACACTATTTCCATGCAACACTCAATCGAAATATAACGAATCAAAGATTGCGCAAAGACTCTTTATTACATCGAGATTCACATGTATAACATAAGAATTAGAATCCCTTGTGATGACAATTCTGTGAGTATTGCAAATCTAAAATGACGCCTTTACTGTAATTGCAAGACTTTCTGTCGCGTCCTGATTGGAAAACCGAGCTTTCGTCTTGGTTTAGGGGATCCAACCCACGATTGTCACACAATCAGGTTTTCTTGTAGACATATTTGTGGGAATCTCGCACAGAGACTCGCTTATTGGGGAGCATGTTTTCATTAAGTCGGGACAATTTGTGAC